AAATGCTCCTGCAGATGTCCGGCTTGGCGGCCTCGGGCCTGGGCCTGTGGAGGTTCTGGCGGCTTCCTCAGTCCCCCTTTGCCTGCCAGCCATGGTTTGCAATCGTCTCCTCGTCATCAAGTGCCCACCGAGCTCTGGCGCCAGACTCGGGCGCTTCCTTCCCCCCATGACTCAGCCTCGCCTGGAATCTGAGTCGTGAGGCCCGATGACAGGAGGTGCGGCCGGTTGCTCTCGGCATGCCATCCGGCCTGTGTGCGCCTCGCTCGCTCTGCTGCCTCACCGACCAGCGGCTCAGCCGGGCTGTCAGGGCGCCCTGGGCCACCTGCCCAGGAACCTCACTTCACGACCCCGGAGTGTCACGGTCACAGGTGTGCAGTCCTTCCTCAGGCTCGTGCCCTGCGAGCTGTCAGTCGGCTGGTCTCCCATTCAGCAGCTTTGAATTCACGGTTGGTGCCAGATGCCGTGAACAAGCAGAACGAAGAGCGAGCCTTGTGGCGGCAGAGAGCAAGTCGCAAAGCCCTCGGACTTGTGTGGACTGCTGGGTTGTCCTGCCGTCTGACGGAGGAGCCCTGCACATGGGCATCGGCACGTGGGTACAGTCAGCCCACGTGCCGGCCACGTGTTTCCATGTGCTTTGGCCCATTATGAACCGCCACGTGCCTGTGATCTTAGATGCGGCACGTACAGAATTCCAGGTGGGCCACCGAGCTAGGCACGCCGTGGCTGTCCCTTGACAGCGGGACCATTGGCGTGCTCCGTGCTCCTGGCTCTCACTGCGGGTGGTGCCACCGCATCCACAGCTGCCGGGGGCTCCCGTCACAGGGCTGCTGACTGCGAGGCGAAGGGACCCACGCTCTGGCACTCACGTCCCTGCAGCATGGGCTTGCTCGCACAAGTGTTGGACGAGGAAGGGCAAGACTCAGGTATCATAAAGGAATCTTTTCTTCCCATATTTGAAAATTTTTGCATGTTAAGCAAAACTGTTCAGTTGCTGCCGGCATAAAGCCCGATTTCATGCCTTGTTTAGAATAGCGATGCTTGATGCCAGGACTCTTCTCCACGCGGTGTTCTTTCCTCTCTGTAGACAATGGCACTCTGTTCTTCCTCCTCCGTTCTAGGCTTCCTCGCCGAGGGCCCAGCGGCAGGCACACATGCCGTCGTATGTGAACCTGCCCTCTGTCGCGCTTTCCGCTCTCGTTCAGAGGGCTCGTTGCACTCGTGCCAGGGAAACTGGGAGCACGGCTATGTCCACAAGGTCCTCTGTCCTCCCTCTGTTTCTTTGTCCTTCTGCAACTGTGCGGCTGCGCACACTGCGACGTGGATCGAGTGGCCGCCATGTCCTGTGGCACCCTGTGTGGGCCGTCGGGTGTTCGGGTCTGGGTTCCCACAAGCTTGGA